CCCCAAAACCCCAAAACCCCAAAACCCCAAAACCCCTAAAAGTCAATTAAAATGAATCAAAATTATTAATTAATAATAATTAATATAATTATGATTGACTTACCAAAATGCAGATTCTCTCCTCAGTGTAGCAAAGTAACATATATGATAAAGAAGTCCTCCAATAATCCACTAGCAAGAGACACTTTCATTTGTTCCGTTTGAATGACCACAACTTTCTCTGCAGAACATTGAGTACCTATTCCACAGCTAGATCCAATAAATGAGTGTCTGAGCTTAGGTAAGAATAATCCAAAGTTGGTAGATTTTACAGGGTGTTAAAACTATCATAGCAATAGTCTTTCATTATCTACGTTAGAAGTCTTCTTTGCATTAGAATTTTCTTCTCATTTGCTTCAGAATGATTTCTATTGGAAGTAGCAATATTTTCTAATTGATGTTTAGCTGAATACAATGTTGAGCAAATTTCTCAGTTCAAAGATCAGCATAACTTGGATGAAGTATGGAATGGACTTCTTCCAGATCTGGATGGATTTAAGGAAGCATGTTCGGAGCTCAGAGGTAATATTTTGTAGAAGATCAACGATATTAGGCTTGCTTCATTAAATTAATTAATACTTTTCTTGACTGTGTCTAATTTCATATCATATTTGAATACTTAAGATGATAAATCTGAGAATAATTTGCTAAATAAGTTATATTACTCATCTTTAATATCTGTCATTCTAGATTTCATCAATTGATAGTTAAATTAAAAAGGGTGAAAAATTAAATTACTCAAAAAAATAATTTTCATAATTTCATAACTTCATCTTCAAAATTTCTTCAAGGCTATCATTAATATTCTAAACTCAATCGTTCAAATACAGAAAGATTCAAGCAGGTTATCAAACAAAACCAATGGTGGAATCTTGTGCACCTCCACTCAGATGCTCGAATGTTTCTTAACCGCATCTTTGACTCAGACATTATGAAATATTACAACCGACAATTCCAGTCCAGGTCTTTCCATGACTCTAAAAGAGGGTCTAGTCTTCGAGAAGGAGACACTCAGATCTTCCTAAGAGCCAAAGTTGCAGAGCTAAAGAAGAATCAAATCTCTCTGCAGAAGAAACTTGACAAATCAACTCAGGAGGCTGAAAGAAGAACTGCCCAGGTTAAGACATTACTACAAGAAAAGGTTAAACTGGATCAGGAATTCAGAGATCTTAAAATATCTACTGAACAAAAGATAATAGATTCCCAAGCTAAAATTCAGGAGCTTGGTAAAATGATAGAGACTAAAAATAACGAAAATTCTCAGCAAACTGCTCAACTTGAAGAACTCAAGAACCAAATTTCTTTTCTGGAAATGACTCTTGAAGACTCAACTAGCACTATCACACATGCTGAACTGAAAGAAATCCACAATTTAATCACAAGCTCATCTTTCATCTTCAACAGATCGTCTGACCTGATTCTTAAATTAAACAAATGGTCTGATCAAACTCTTCTCAAAGCTCTGCAGCTTCGAACTCTTCCTTCTTTGAACCAACTCTACATAGATTATATCGGCTCCTTTGATAATCCTTCCGTCATTTCCAAGTTCCTTATAAATGCTGTACGACCATATATTAGTTCTCTCAGAGAGTTTGTGGTTATCAATAGGAAAATGCCTTGTATTCATGCAAGTAGTTTTATCAGAGGTTTTAAGAATATTTTTGAACAAACCTCTAATTTTATTGGATTGTACAGGTTCAAGATATCAAAGGAAGAGTTTGAGGCCTTAGTTATAGCAGGCAGACATTGCAAGGAAGTAAAGTTTAATAAATGTGAGATAGTCACGGATGAACAGGTTGAATTTGGAGACGAACTGGGAGATTCAAGTTTTATAAAAATTGATTTTTATAAATGTGGAGGAAGTGCATATAGTAAATGGAAGGATAATGGGTTTAAGAGGCTTCATAATATTGTGAAAGGACTAGCTAAGGTTTGTAATATTTTAATTAAGTTGGATCATTTTCCAAACCAATCCTTAATGACTTCCCTTCATAGGTTTCTCAATTAAAGGAAAGAAAAATTCTATTGGGTCTCTCTGAATGCGACCTCACTAAAGACGAAGCTCAGACAATTCTCATCGAAAATGGATTTACTGCAGCGACTATCCAAGGGATTTAGACTAAATTTATTTATGAAGGATTGCTCAACTGGGTTTTAGGGGTTCTTTGTGTTTTTTGAAGGAAATTTTGAAGAGCGTTGGGTTATTAATAGTTTTAGGACTTGGGAGGATTTTATGTATTTTTACTTTTGAAAGGTAGATATTAAAAAATGAATTATTTATTCTAATCCCCTTCAATCAGAGACAATTAAGCAGGGGTTTTGGGGTTTTGGGGTTTTGGGG